TGTTTTCAGAGGTAAGATTAGTGAGAAAAGGGCCGCCAAAGATGAATTATTTCCTTAGCTTAAGAGTCCATGGTAACTGAATATTTACATTTTTTGTGCCTTTAATCAACGTTTTTCAGAAAAATCCATACAGAAATGAGTTCTTTAATGGGCATGAAAGGTGTTGAGCCAAAAAAAAATTGTATTGAAAAAATTCACAAACCTGCAGAAAAATGCAAGTTTCTTCACTTTGATTATTTTGACGAGAGCCTGATTCCACCACGCTGCCTCACAAATAACAAACAGAAACAAACCAACAACAAGATGCATTCTCAGAATGTCAATTCGAAGAAAGGACACACAAAGCAGTACTCACCTCAGCTGCTCTCCTATGATGAAGATCTCGTAAGTCTTTTCATACCATCCCTGTTTTCGCCGACTCATGGCCGAGTTTTTAACAAAAATTAAAGCAGTCACGAGTCCATTTAAAAAAAGAAAGAAAGAAAGAAAGGAAACAAGTGCGAGCGCACTCAGTCACAGACACTATTCACAGTCACAACCAGACTCCAAAAAGATTGAGAAATCACACCACACCGATAACTCAAATTATGTCTCTTACTGGAGAAACGTAGATTATTCCTCTCTGACTTAAGTGGTCTTTTTATATTATGTTTGTCGAACACTCCGCTCACAGCTCGGTCTGAAGGCTTCAAGTTCAAAACTACCACAAAGACATCAAGTCCTTATACCTACTCCTACACGTGTGTTGTAAAGAAATCCCTTTCACCTCCACCGGACTCCTTCGCCCACAACGTTTATGATGTTGACAGCGGGTTGGAAAAAATCGACGGAGCTCTCAAGTTTATCAATACTCCCAAAGCTGAAAACACAACCACGAAGCCGGGCGTATTAATGGATAAAGATCAGACAAAGTGTACCGTACCGACAAGGTGGATAATGTTTGCAATGCGATGTGGTGGTATGTCAGTCGTACACACTTATGTGTTCGTGGGTGGTCACCTTACAGTCTCCCTCCGTCTTTTAGTGAACATACACACAAACACACACATACGCCTACAAAATTTCTTAGGCTTCGACTGACTATTGTTTGAATAATTACAGGCTCTTATGGAGTAGATTATGAGAATATACATACAATGGTTGGCGTGGGCCGATATTGTGCGCGGTCACACCTCCCCTGTGTTATCTGTCTTCTCTCTCCGTGTGATAACAGCGAGGTATGGGACCACAAGTGGGCTGTGGTTCTTGTAACCTGTCCATGTCGTTTTATGCAAGAAAAATTCTGATATTATGCAAACTGAGCCAAAAAATGTGAAATTATGCGATTCTGTTAATTTTAACAAAGAATGATAAAGGAAAATAATCAGAAACTATGGAAAAAAAAGAATCAAAATTTACTAAATTACGCGGGGAGCCTAAAACCACGGGGACAGTGTAATTGTCATGGCGAGCTTGACAACTTTGCAGAATGCCTTATGGTAAACAGGGCGTTTTTCTGTGACGGGCGGTGGTATTTGGGAAGTGTTGTTATATCTGTTTAACAAAGGGTTTAGGGCTGGAATATTTGACGCAATGAATAAAAGAAATGTTCTGAAACACACTGGGTTTTTTTTTCGGGGTAGGTGGTTTTACGCCACTATCGAGAAAATCTAGAGTCTAGATAATTTAGGAAGTGGGTTTTCGACAATGACTATTAGAGCGGGCTCAGGTTGAGAAGGATAAAACATCTCAGCAGAAAGACCGAAACGCTCAAAGAAAGACCGAAACGCTCACGATCCTGCGTGCGATTGCGATTGGGTAGGGGGGG